TTTTTAGTAACATTTATACTTGTTAACTTAGGATTAGGATTGTATTTAATCTCTTTAGTTTTTCCTTTGTTATTAGAAAGATGAAATTTTTTATAGTTTACAGTTCTTACATAGGGAATTTTCATATCTGGGGGAGGATAGCTTAGAAACTTGGGCATCTTAAGAAAGACTCTAAAACTTAACCTGTCAACAGCAATGGATAAACACGGACGGAAAAGACCTAGGCGCACACTTAGCTAACGGGCGAAAACCGTGTAAACTGCGACCTCTAGTTAAGGAAATAAAGACTTAAAAAAAAGGCAAAGTAAACAAGCTAAATATTAAGCAAATAGTAGTAACTTCAAAAAGTTTGCAAAATCCTCTTAGCTAACGGGTTTCTTTACCGCAGGTCGACTCCACCACTGGCTAACTTGGCTTTGATACTCTTATTTCTGGGCTAATCGGTGGATTAGTCATCCATTGATCAATGACTGTTTTGGCTGCTCTGGTGTGAGAAGTTTTGCCCATATTAATGTTAGTACAGATAATTTGAAGTCCATCGGTCATATAATAGGAATAATCTTCAAGTAAATACTTAAGTTTTTTATAGAACCAGATGGTGTTTTGAAAGCGATCCAACCCTAAATCATAGCTTTCTTCATGAAACCATTTATGAGTATGGAGTCCGGTGATTGTAGAAAATTTTCAAATTTGTAAGCTCGAAAAATATTCAAAACTGCTTCTTTCATGTAAGGTAGCTGTAATATTAAATTGAAGATGTACCAAACTTACTGGAGATAAGAAGATGTATGTCTTGATAATGGCTGGCAGGCCTTTAAACCGCATTGGATTGTACAAGAATGAGGGTTCACTTGAAATTCTTAATTCACAGACAAGTCTTGTGTCTATATGTGGGATATAAAGAGGAATGTCATGAAGATTTATCACGAATCTAGGAGAGATATATGTTGTAGGAAGTGTAAATTCCTTGTGATTGTTTAGAAGAGAAATGATATTGTCATCTTTAACTTTTACCTTTATAATATTTTGAATATCTTGAGGCAAAATATTTAGTGGACCATAATTACTCTCTGTTAAGACGTTCTCTGTAAATATTTTGCTGGATATATTCTGGTATTCCAAGGATTTGAAACATCTCATGAGATGTTAATGCGATATTGTTGGAATAAGGATAGAGAATTAATCTTATATAAAAGGTTTATAAATCTTTTTTTCAACTAATTATTCTGTTTAATAAATTGCTCATCCTTTTCTTTTAAGAGATGGAGTAGATGAGTCATATAAACCCTTATTTGCCTTTTCTCTTGAGCACAAATACTATTCCACAGATTATTAAAAATTATATAGTCAGGACATTGTAGTCCCGGGTCATAAAAATATTTTGACCTTTTTAAGGGAGATGGTGGAGTTGAGCAAAGAGATTTTCTTTTAGCTTGTGAAATTAAAGCTTGATGAGTCATCTTCTTCCTGCAAAATGTTCGAAAATGTGTATTTGAGTTTAATATTTCATTAAAATAGCGAAGAAATATTTCTATTCTCGGAATTCAACACAAACATGAAATTTTTTTAAAATGTAGGATACTGGGGTATGACTATATATATGTGTGTGTGTATAAAATTTACATTAGATCAAATATTGAATTAAAATACATGTAACATTTGTTTATTTCTTTCTATTATCTATAACAATTAAGAATCAAGTTAAATAAAACTAAGAATAAGATTTAACAACAAAAGTTTGGTTCTGATCACCTGGGATAATATAATGGGTATTTTTTAAATATTTATGTAATGAGTGTCAGTTTTTGGGTTTAGAAAACCAATTGGTTTTGAACCCAATATTACCAAGGAAACTAGTTTAGGGTATAAATAATGGGGAATTCAGATTTTGCTTTAAACCACACGTGTTCATGGCGTGTTCGTGGAGAATCCATGTTCGACACGTGCGGACACGAAACATGACACCCAAAATTCCGTGTTCAAGTAACCTAGTACATAATATGCACATATTTGTATATGTATATAGGGAATGATGGGTATAGGCTGACAACCTATTTTGTAAAATAGGTTTTGCTGATGTGGCATATGTTTGGCAGCCAACTAAGTAATGTGTCTTCTTTTTGCATATCACCCCTCTTTGTTTTTTTGAGCAACCTAAAAGGCAATGAATGATAAACAAAAAACCCGATGAAGACCAAATACAAAGTAACAAAATGCTTGCTAACCATTATTATCTCTTTCTTCGCTTTCTTTGTTCCACGTTCTCTCTTCTCCTGCAAGTTTCTTTTCCCATCTCCCTTCTTTCTTTCTTTTTCTTCTCACCATACGTTTTCTCTTACCTCTTTACCTCATATATACACCCTAGGAACACTAAAAATGAGACCAATATCTAGCATGAGCTTGGCTTAGGCCAAAATGTGTAGGAAGATGAAGGCAAACATAATCATCTAGATAATAGATTCAGCAAGAGCTTGAGTTAAGGTAGTAAAGGCCTTGTGGTATAAGGTAGCCATTTAAGAAATTTTTAGCGGGAGCTCGATTAACTATTACTTTTAAATTTTAACAGGCTAAGAAATCTCAGGACATACTGACATTTCCTGTATTGAAGTTGTTTGCAGAAAAAATTGTTTTTTTTTTTTTTTGTAATAGCATGTGAAATGCTAATGAACTATTATTGATGGTACAGTTATGTGGGTTGTATGAAAGGATTTATCAGATTTTATTGGTTCAACTTTCTCCAGAAATAGAGATTTTACCATGCTATCTTACTTATATGGTCCTTCTATGTTAAAATAAAATCGGAATATGATCTATTGAGCGTAGTTCATGTGAAAATATCATATGAGAAGCTTCTTGAGGAGAACCAAAGGCTGGAGTCCTGGACTTTAATGGAGCAGGGAAGAAATTGCTAATGTTGTTGGGCTACTTAGCAAGTGAAGAAAGGAGAGAAATTGATGTGGGGTTCCTTGATGAAATGAAGGTAGATAAGGTCAAAAGACAAGAAACAAGGAAAGAAGGGAAAAGATGAAATGATAAGATTGTAGAAAGTTATCTATGCTTAGAAATCATTGTGTTTTTTTTATTTGAGGTTCATCGGTTTTTTGAGTTTCGCTCAGAAAGGGGTTAATGCAAAAAAGCATACAAATTTATAGCTTTGCTAGCTGTTAAAAAATACATATTCAACACAGTGACAGCCTATTTTACAAAATAGGCAGTCAGCTCATTCCCAATATTCCCTACATGGATATTGCCTGAAATTACTAAATGGAGTAAGTGGTGGAACTACTAGATGAATGAGTAGACAATTTTAACCTCATTATTGTTGCACAAGTATGCTTTAAGGCCATGGAGTTTTTGGTGACATGTTGGTGCAAGTGGGAACACTAGAGATTTAAATTGGCCATTGAAAGAAACCTTATATGCCTCACAACCTCTCAATTTTTTATGTACATCAGTATATATGTGTATAAAATTCAATTTCCAGGTAACTCTATATATCACACACATTTTATCACATTGAGCATGTTGGATTTGAAGGCTGGATCTGGGTTATATTTAGCTGTATTTTGGTCATTGACAGTCCATTCAGTAGTTTGTCTTGGTTGTTGAGTGAAGCTGTTTGAGACTAGGTGAACTGCAAGTTTGAGGAGTTCAATTGTGTTTTAAGGTGCACCTTAACCAGTTGATGCTCTTTTGTCCTAGGTCTTTTATTTGTTAGTAAATTATAAATTATAATTATGCAAGAAATTTGACTGCATAATATGGCTATGGAAGAGGCAAATGGGTCCTCCTAGCTTGAAGCATCTGGGATATAGTAATATGAGAAGCTTTGTGCTTCATTCATGGGGTTGTTTTGGTGTAAAATGCATGCAAGCACGATAATCAGGAATATCATCCTTTACTGTGATGTCCAACTGCATAAACTATAATTTGATAACGATAGCTGCTACTTATAATCGTTAATTCTATTTTTATGTTATATTATTCTGACTAAAAAGTAAGATATGATCTTAGAGTTTTTCCCTTTAGGAAAATGATACTCATTCCAAAGAATTCTTTTCCAAATTGAATTCTGTGCGAATTCTAAGCACCAATAATCAAGTTCCTTGATTCCCTTCCTCTAATAATATTTCATATTAGACATTTGTCACATCATATAATATTTTTCAATTAATATTTCCTTTTCCAAATAATGATTTTCGATGCTGGCACAATACTTATGGCAGCACACCAAATGGTCAATACTTGGCTGCTTGCAAGCAAAGAACTGAGACATGTTATTATTACATCTCAACTGACTATTTCTAGTTAATTTGTGCCCCTCGAGAATCATTATGTTCTTTTGGGTATTTATTATAAAACCCCTTAAAAAGTCCGACCAATTATTAGGCAACTTGTATATGTTTTATTACACGACACCCGACCGTTAGTTTTATCATTAATTGGCTTTAAAAGAGCATGTGCAGGTCACGAGCATACTTATTTCCCTCAAATGCTGTTTCATAACCCTCTTCTTCGTCCTCAAACTATTGTCAAATTTTTGCCTTCCTTCACATCAATCCAAGACGCTGTTAGAGATCTCTGGAAGCACAAACCATGTGTCAAAGACTGGATACAGTTTCTTTGTTTATATGTCTTTTGCTTGATTAATGAAATCGATTGATTCTGATAAATTCTTAACATAGTGAAATTGTTTACCCACCAGATTCAGTTTCATCATGGTAGTCAACTATAGTTCAAATGAAGCTAATACCAAATACAATTGGTTCTAAGCATAATGATCATCAGCCTGAATAGTGAGTATGGACTAGACAGGAAGAAAATATCCAACAAAGTTAAAGAGAAGATATATTATCATCCTTCATGTAAGAAAATAATTCAGTCATTTTCAAGGTCTCACAAATGGAAAACAAACTATGTAATCAACATTACTGCTGCAAGAAATAGGAATTTATATATAAGTTTATCACAAACTGATACTGACAAAGACATAATTGCAGTACAGGCAGACAGCAACTTCCCCGAGGGTATGTAGAAGCTCTACATGGTACGTCTTTAAGATCCTCAAGTATTCAAAGGTTAATATTTTGATTTATGTGATTACTGAAACTGGAAAACACAATGAAGAACCTGTGACTGAGTTACCTGCTCCACACTAGATTTTTGTATATTCAAATAAGAGGAGTGAATATTCTTTTAGGAACAAAAAGACGGTTATGGAATGTTAGTTGAGGGAATAAATATGCATGTTACTTGCATGTACTATTTTAAAGAGAACTTAACAGTATAATTAGTGATAGGGGTTCTATAATAAAAAATAATTGTAGGGTGTTTCCTCATAAGCAGTTGAACTTTAAAGGGTCTTGTACTTATCCTACTATTTTCTCCAATCTTCTGAGGTGAAGATGTATGTGTCTGTTATATCCATGGTTGTACGCGACTTGCTAGGTAATCTCTTGTTTGGCATAGTATGTCAATCTTTTGATTCTGCTCTGTTCAGTCACTTGCATGGATGAGTTCTTTATACTGAACTCCTTATCTAAACTGCTTTAGAAGCCTAGTAGTTTCTGTTGCTGCTTTCGCTGATGTGAGCAATAAGTGTATTCTGATGCTATAATCAGGAAGAACTTATTAGATAAACTATCCTGATTAGACAGAAAGGGATTCGAAGTTGACGGGTACAGTGTCTGTGATCAGTTTACCAACTAGAAGTGGATCATAGGTTATTTAATAGAACTAGTACACGAAAGAAAGTTTGACCTATAGATTCCTCTCTCAGGACAACTTACCTTTTTGCATATATAATATAACATGTGACATTGAGGATGAGATTGACAAATGAACGTGCTTCTCTCAAGCAAACAAATAAAGTTGACCATAAGTCCATATAGTTGAGGTATGAAGGTAACAGAAGGCAACATAAAAATCACATAATAGCTACATACTTCATGTACTTGATATATGCCACCTGTGAGGAATCAAAAACTGAGTTCAGAGTACCGATTACAGGGGCCAACCAGCACTTCGATTCTACCTCCCATTAGAGAACCCCAATCTGCACCTTCTATTACACTCCTTCACCTTCAGAACCCTTCTTCTTTTCCATAGTCAAGAAATTCTCCTCCCTCCTCTCCTTTAGGTAATCCATACTTCACACATTCTTACACTTCGTTAAGTCCAATATGGAACTTTCACTCAAACCTGAGTGCCCTTATTTAGTCGGTCTATCAATGTACATCTCATTCTTGCATGTACCCAAATGGTTGCACGTGCTTGGCAATTCTTAATTATGTGTTTCTGTTCTCATCTGACAGGAACAATAATGCTTTCCTTCAAGCCTAATAGTTCAACCTATCATAATATTTCTCAATAAGTTGCCATTTCCTTACACCTGGAGAAATGATAATGTGGCATTATAATTTGGTCTTGTAAGCAGTTTAAAGTTGACGAGTACCAGCCACAAGAAGGGCAAATGTATCTTCATTTTCTTGCTCGTGTTCAGAATCTAGATTGTGCGGATGTTGCCTTAATTTTCCCGATTTGCTAAGTATCTGATGTCTAAGTGTGCTTGGCTGTTAGGCTACCTATTCCCACTTCCCACTGATTGGATCTAGGAGTTTATCCATCTACTCATGCTTTGATGGTTGTCTTTTAAAACTCAGACATGTGAAACCTATACTGATAGTCCATGCACTTGCTTATTTAAAAACTTGAATTTTTCCAACCGTAGTTGTACACATCAAACTATCAGCATAATACTGTGGAACTAGCTGATGCATAAATTATATGATCCTGTTATTTGCATATGCCATACGGAGATCTCAAAATAGTATTCTTGTGTCTGTTTCTAATTCCGCTTGTACATATTTCCACCAATTTTTCAAATGATAATTTGGAAGCCCTCGTGTGAGCATATGGTTTTTGGGATAACTAGTTTTTTCAATATTCAAGCAGGGGAACCTGATAAACTAAATTTAAAGAACAACTTCTCTAGTTATACTATTTTTTCCCATCATTTTTTAGGTAAAATTAAAAACCATCTCCCTAAGCATTGTAGAGATGACGGGAAAAATCCCTTTCAAGTTCTAAAGCCAACTTTCACACCATCCTTTCGAATTTCTAAAACCAACATATTCATTCCCTCGAACAAGGTCATATGAAGATCATCCAACCATTTTGATGATAATGATACCCTTGAAGAGAATAAACATTCTTCTTTCTTCTCTCACGGGTTAGGAGCACTTTTGTCTACAAGTCACATGACTAACATGTGACCGTTTTTAATGGAAAGCTAAATCAGGGAGTGGAAGCATCAGTTTTAACTTCACAGGGATTTTCAGTCCCTTCTACAAATCATATCACTTCTACAAACTTTTCACGGATTTTCAGTAATTTTACCCATTTTTATTTTTATCCTCAAGGGGTGAACTCCTTTAAAGGGGGTTAGTCCATCAGATCTTTTCTACTAGAACTAGGATAATTACTAAGATGAAATGATTTTTTAAAAGTAGGATAATTTATTGGAATAATAAGGGTAATTTTGTGAAAGTGGGATATTTGGTAAAATGATATGGGATAATTTGGAATAATAAAAAAGAATATTCATGTATTTTCATGATTTGTGATCCCATAATTTACATATTTCTTAAGGTTATTATTAATAGTTAATAATAATTTGATATAATGTCAATAAATATTCCAAAAGAGTAGCTATTTCTTGGACTATAACAACATCAAATAATAGATACAATTGTAATGATTTATTTATTTATTAATGTGGACTATAAATCAAGAAGCATGAAACGAATTAGTCTCACAATTATTTTAAAATAGAAAATATTACAATTTCACTCTTGATCGGTGCAGATAATATTTAGTCATACATAGCGTAGAAAATAGCGCATTTCGTAGCGCAAAATACGTAACGTAACGTTAACCTAACGTCGCATAGCGGTGGAAAATAGCACACGAACAAAATAACGTGCGCTATTTTAGCCATAGCGCACGCTATGTAACGTGGCGTCGTGGCGTTTTGTGGCTTAGGTTATTTTGTTCAATGGCTGGAATTGCTTTTTAAATGATTCAATAGTTGTGATCGAGTCTCCCACTTTTCATAAGTTAAATTCATCAAAACCCTAAAGATCCTGGTCCTGCTGCCGTCACCTCCAGATCAAAACTTCTTCTTATTTGGACCTGCTGCCCTCGTCGTCGTCTCCCGTCGATCCTGCTACCTCGTTGTGTCGCCTGTCGACATCCTGCTAACCCTCGTCGTCGTCTCCGCGCGTCCTTTCACTCGTCGTCGTCTCCCGCCAGTCATTGCTGCCCTCGTCGTAGTTTCTCGCCTCTCCTTTCCACCTCGTCGTCGTCTCCCACCCCTCGTTTCCACCTCGAGGATGCAAACATCATTCTGGAGGACGACAACTTAGTATTTCCTCGAGGATGCAAACATCATTCTGGAGGACGACGACTTAGTATTTTAATAGTATGAGGGATTGATTTAGTGGAGGATGACTCGTTTTGTAGGATTTATTAAAACTTATGACTTAGAAATGCTTGTTTTGTTAAAATGTCTATGATTTGGTTTCGAACTTGAAGTATTTTATGCTTTTGGATTGATTGTTAAGGCAAACATAGTTGATTTTGTTGTGAATTTGTGATGATATATTGATTTGTGATAGTATTTTTACGATGATATGTTTTGAGAATTGCGATGATTATTCATATTTTTTTTAATATTATATATCTATAAATTATTTAAATAATAGTAAATTATTTAACCTACGTTAAGAGTTATGCTATTTTGCGTTTTATGTTAATCGGAGGTAAGCGTTACGCTATGCGTTATCGTTATTTTCAACATTGGTCATACAAATAGCAAAAGTGCAAAATCTATATCGCTTAATAGATATATGTTCATCATCTAACGTGGCTTATGATACATATGTCCCTTCACACTCCTGTGAGGTCCAATGTGTCTATTATTTGTAGTTAATAATTTTTCATCGAATTTTCACTTTTATCAACAATATTGTAAGCACTTGTAGTGATCTAGCCATGACTGGACGCACAAGCAATTAGATAGCAAAGTAAAAATTATAATTCAAACTTTTCTCTTCAATCATACATCCTTTGTGTATGTAAGAGTTATATACTTTATATATATATATATATATATATATACTATATATATATATATATATATATTAATGAAGAAAATGGAGAACTTGTACCAAGTTGCCTCTAAGCAACCTGGTAGTGGATGTAGGCTAATTGTCCCTACATCTCATTGGACTTGATGTAAGGTAGTGGTTGAGGCTCTATCTTCGAGGCTTGTGATGAGGGGCCCAGATTAGGCCACGATCACTACAAGTTTGTTTTAAGCAACGGGATCCAAGGTTCTCCTTTTCCTCTCTCTCTCTCTCTCTCTATATATATATATATATATATATATATATAACTAAAATCTTCTTTCATAAAAATATTAAAATTTATACACAATGTTCTAAATGAGTACCGCATCTGTTTTGCAGTTTCATGTTGATACAAATCAACATGAAGGTTGATGTGTACAATGAAGAAAACATAAAAAAAAGAAAAAAGGAAAAAAAAGGAGAGATAGATGTGAGATAATTTGAGGATCATTTTAATTCTACAAAAAATGGTGGGATAATTTTAGGGAGAAAGACTCATGTTTTTGTATAGATCTAGAATAATTAGTGGGATAATTTTCAAAATTATCTCAGTTCTAAAACCCCCTTGAAGTTATAAAACCAACACTTTCACCCCATCCTTTTGAATTTCTATAATGAACCCCTTCGCCCCCATAAACAAGGTCATATAAAGATCGTCTGACTGTTTTGATGAGAAAGATTCCCTCGAAGAGAGTACACATTCTTTTTTCTTCTCTCAAGAGTTAAGGGTCTTCAAATAAGTCATAGGACTGACATGTAACCGTTTTTATGGAAAGTCAAATTAGGGAGTGGAAACGCTAGTTTTAACTTCACAGGGATTTTTAGTCACTTCTACAAACCATATCACTTCTACGAACTTTCCAAGGATTTTCTATAGTTTTCCCCATTTTTATTTTTATTTTCAAGGAGTGAACTTCTTTAAAGAGAGTTAGTCCATCGAAAGTTTTAAGGTGGAACTAGGATAATTACTGAGATGGAATAAACCTTTTGAAAGTAGGATAATTTTATTGGAATAATGACGGTAATTTTGTGAAAGTAGGATATTTGGTATAATCGTATGGGATAATTTACAACTATAAAAAGAATGTTCATCTATGTCCATGATATGTGATCCTATAAGTTACATATTTCTTAAACTTATTGTTAATAGTTAATAATAATTTGATATAATGTTAATAAATCTTCCAAAGTTCAGCTATTACTTGGACTATAACAACATCATAATAATAGACAAATTGCAATGATTTATTATTTATTAATGTGGACTATGAATCGATAATAGCATGAAATGAATTAGTCTCACAATTATCTTGAAATATAAAATATCACAATATCACTCTTGATCGGTGAAAATAATGTTTAGTCATACAAATAGTAAAACCTATATCGCTTAATAGATATATGTTCATCATCTAACATGGCTTGTGATACATATATCCCTTCAAGCTCCAATAACTATCCAATGTGTCTGTTATTTGTAGTTGGTCATTTTTCATCGAATGTTCACTTTTATCAACAATATTGTGTGGCACTTGTAGTGATCTAGCCACAAGTGGGTTCACAAGCAATTAGATAGCAGAGTGAAAATTCCAACTCAAAAGTTTCTCTTCAAGAAAACATCTATTTATGTAAGAGCGATATCTATATCACTCTCAACACTAAAATCTTCTTTCATAAAAATATTAAAATTTATACCCATGTTTCAAATGAGTACCGCTTCTATTTTGCAGTTTCATCAAATCAACATGAAGATTGATATGTACTACGAAGATAACGTCAAAAAAAAAATAAATGAGGAGAAATAGAAGTGAGATAATTTGAGGAACAATTTGGTTCTACAAAAAATAGTGGAATAATTTTTGAGAGGACAAATGTTTTTGTATAGATGTAGAGTAATTAGTGGGATAATTTTAAAAATTATCTCAATACAAGTTCTAGAAGAGCTCTAATTGAATAACATCGCAAAAATTTATCCTAATTTTAGTTCCATATGACTAACGCTATAAAATTGTCCTACAAATTATACCAGTTCTATTTTTTAGTTTAGTTGACTAACCTCCCCAAAAATTACTTATCTGGTATTGTGCAGTTGCAATTGTTATTTTGTCTTTGGATGGGAATGAAGGACGAGGAGGAGGGAGGGGAGGGGAGGGGGGCAGCTGAAAATGTTCAGTTTGTTTGAAGGCAAAGGAAGGAGACAAGTTGCCCTAGATCATCCTCCGTTCTATATGATGTGGTTTTCCTCCAAATTGGGGTGTAATGGAGGGAAAAATTTTTCCCTCCAGATTAGGGTGTAATGGAGGGGAAAAAAATTTGGACCATCATGATATGAATCCAACGACTAAGAAATGATTCCTCCTCTTTCTTCCCTTTACTAAACTCTCAGACATGATACTATATTTTCTCATTCCTTTCTTTCCCTGCCCCTTTCATTCCCTTCCACTCAATTACTAAACTCCCAATCATCTATCTTTAGTTATTGTGTATGCTCTAGATGTCACTTGTTTTTGGTGGATTTAGAAACTGAGCAGTAGGGATATGCAAACAGTTGATTAAACATGTAGCCTATTTACCTGAAGCTATTCATTTCTGCCTCTTTTTCTACTTCTTTCTCACACTTTTTCCCCCTTCACTTATCGGGTTAATCTTACTCTTATTATAAAACAAGTTCTTCCCTGTACTGTGCAATAATAGAGTTTGTAGTACCTCTCACTTCTGCATATTCTTTTGTCCTGTAAGTTTCCTGTTGATTCATGTTTGTGTAGCAACAATGTTGATTTAGTAAGAATTATATTTTACATAATTTTTCAGAATGCTATATAGAAAACAATGAGAGAAATATTCTCGAACTTTCTGTTTTTCTTTCATCGAGTAGCTGCTAACTAGAAATGCATAATGATAATCTTCTTTTGCAGGTAAGCTAACGCCAATCAATGCATTGTGGCAGAGGCAACTACACCAAACATCAACAACCAGAGCACAAGACAGATCAAAAGAATAAAAATGCGGATAAGGATAAAAGTAAAGAGCAAGATCAGAAAACTGTATTTATTGTATGATCAAAGTTTTTATTTTCAGCTGTGCAACATTTTTTCAAAGTAGTGTGATTAGATGTGATTTAGGAATGGGTACGTGCACTTAAATACAGCAATGTAGGCGCCATTTTTCACTTTGATTTTAACTTTGATGCCCAAACTTCTTTTTTGCCCAAAAGATATTCCAAAGTTTACTTTGTTACCCTGAAATGATGACAGGAGGTTAAGTTTTTTTTTTTTTTGAACATTTGTATTTTTTTTATGGGCAAAATTT